AGAAGACAGTACTCAGACTCACATTACAATTCCAGTCCAAGGAGTTAGAACCAAACAAATGCATGAGGGAACAGGAAATAATGACCATGCAGAAAGTTTACTAACTAGCACAGCAGCATGTGTAAGCTGGCTGGCACTATCTAAATGTTCTGGGTAAATGATAAATACCCTAAAACTCTTGGAGTGCCAACACTTACTAGTGAATAACTTTTGTAAAACACCCAAGTCCACATTTTTCTTTTGGTGAGTGCAACAGGCACATTATATTTTCACTAGATTCACCCACATTCAGAACCTCGTGGTCAACTTTACAGGCTGAGAGTTAATCAGAAAGTGGTCAGGTGTAAAAATAAGCACTGGGTTTTGCCAGATAGACACTGTGTTCAAATCCTGGTTTCACAAATGACCCATGAGAAGCCCTGGGTAAGCCGGTCACTCACCTTGGCCTCAGCTTCCTCTCTATAAATATTAACCAATATACATGTATATATGAACACCATGTGCTGGTGCATCTCAGTGGATACAGGAGAGGACATATCAGATAATTTTAAGTCCAAATAAGTGCTATGAGCAGATACAATAATGGAAAAAGAGGGGCTGGGAGATCAGGAAAGGCCTGTCTAAAGAGGTTACACTCACACTGGAACCCAAACAATGAACACAGCAAGTACACAGGGATCTGGGGACAAAGTATGACAGCAGGGGAACAAGCACAAAGATCTCGAGGCAGGAACAATCTTGCATGTTTAAAGGACAGAGGGCTAGTGATGCGAAAAACAGAATGAGAGGCACGGTGAAGAAAAATGGAGTTGGATATTATTAATTATTGGGCTGGATATTAATTATTGGGTTGGATATTATTATTAATGGGCTGGATATTATTGTTACAGTGGCAAGTGACTATGGGGAACAGTAATTAATTTAATTACATTTAGCAGCAAAACTCTTTAAAAGCAAATAACAAGTGAAACTTCTTCAATATACAGCTGGTAAAAGTGGTAGGTAGTATTGGGGCTGGGAAGGTGGCTCAGTGGTAGAGCGCTTGCCTTGCATGCATGAGGCCCTGGGTTCAATTCCTCAGCACCACATACGCAAAAAGAAAAAAAGCCAGAAGTGGCGCTGTGGCTCAAGTGGTAGAGCGCTAGCCTTGAGCTGAAGAGCTGAGGGACAGCGCCCAGGCCCAGAGTTCAGGCCCCACGACGGGACCCAAAAAAAAAAAAAAAAAGTGGTAGTATTTAGGCAGGCTGGGAAACTAGTTAAAGCCTCTGAGCTTCAGCCTTTTTAGCATTCCCAACTCACCTCAATGGATAGACCCCTCAGAAGAGCTAAATATTCTCAGATGATCTATTTCTAAGGTTCCTCAAACTGTTATGAAATCCAGTATCAGAGCTGGAGATATGTCTGAGTGATAGAGTTCATATGCCAGGCCCAGGTCAAACTGAGGGCTGAGCATGTGAGCTCTAGCCATAAAAAGAATAATACAATTATCATTATCATCATGCATGTTATTTGTAAACTGATTTGTTGGAAGGTAACTCCTTTGCACAACTACTTCAACTATTAAGGATAAAAATACAATTTAAAATAGTAATAGTGTCCTCCAGCAACCAAACACAGTCTTTCAGAAAGGTAACCACCGTAGCTTGGAGGCCTCATAACTCTTACTCAGCCCAGGCTGCCTCTCAAGAAAGTAATCTGGAAGCAACCATAAAGAAAAGAAATAATGGCCTCCCAGGTCTGCACTGCACAGCCCACCCAGCTCCACAGGCCACAGGTAAACAGGGACCCTGCAGCCAGCACAGAGCCACCACATCCCACTCCAGATGCAGCCCAGCAGCTGGCCAGGCCTTCACTGCTCTTTGTGCCCTCTTTGCACACTGCACTTTCAATGTGACTGCTGGCAACATCAGGAATACAAATTCAGCCACAGAACCCTGTGGGGGTGGTCCTGAATAACTCAGAGCTCGGGGCCTACACCTTGCCCTTTCCTACACCTCGAAGACCAAACTGCACTGAAACTCCAAAGACTACAATATTGCAAGCAGAAGTTTCTGCTGACCCAGTTACATCTACTCTAGAGGCAGTGAGGTCATAAGAATGCCTTTGACTTACTTAGAGAGACAACATCCAGAAATGACCCCAATTTTTACAGGGGCAAAAACAAAGAGCTAATTATCCTGGCCAAAGGGAACAATAGCAGGCCTGCAGCCTGAGGGATAGGACCCTTAAAAAAATCCCCTTGGGAGCTGGGTGCGGGTGGCTCACGCAGGTCATCCTAGCTACACAGGAGGCTGAGAGCTAAAGATATCCCGGTTCAAAGCCAGCCTGGGCAGGAAAGTCCGTGAGACTCCAATCTCCAATTAACCACCCAAAACCCGGAAGTGGGGCTGCGGCTCAAGTGGTGGAGTGCTCGCCTGGAGCTCCGAGCTGAGGGACAGCGCCCAGGCCCAGAGTTCAAGGCCCACGATCGTCAAAAAAGCCAACACACAAACAAAAAATCCCAATGGTAGAGATCTAAAGACACCACCGCGCAGCGCAGCGCCGAGAGCCCAGAAACAGACCCTGCCCCGCGCGGCCTGGGTCCCTGGAGGTGAAGCACGGCCTCCCTGCGCACGGCCCTCGTTTCCGCTTCCCTTCCTGCACCGGCAGACACTGAAGCCCTCACGAAGGATTTCCGCACCGTTCAATTCAGAAAAGATACTGGGCGCCCCGTGGGCGAGTAGCACACGGGCGGGTCCGGGCAGGGGAGCGGGGCAGGGAGGGCAGGGGGGAGGACAGGGGGCAGGGGGGCAAGGGAGAGGACAGGGGGCAGGGCAGGGGGGCAGGGGGGCAAGGGAGAGGACAGGGGGCAGGGCAGGGGGCAGGGGGGCAAGGGAGAGGACAGGGGGCGGGGCAGGGGGCAGGGGGGCAAGGGAGAGGACAGGGGGCGGGGCAGGGGGCAGGGGGGCAAGGGAGAGGACAGGGGGCAGGGCAGGGGGCAAGGGAGAGGACAGGGGGCAGGGCAGGGGGCAAGGGAGAGGACAGGGGGCGGGGCAGGGGGCAGGGGGGCAAGGGAGAGGACAGGGGGCAGGGCAGGGGGGCAGGGGGCAAGGGAGAGGATAGGGGGCAGGGCTGGGGGCAAGGGAGAGGACAGGGGGCAGGGCAGGGGGCAAGGGAGAGGATAGGGGGCAGGGCAGGGGGGCAAGGGAGAGGACAGGGGGCAGGGCAGGGGGGCAAGGGAGAGGATAGGGGGCAGGGCAGGGGGGCAAGGGAGAGGATAGGGGGCAGGGCAGGGGGGCAAGGGAGAGGATAGGGGGCAGGGCAGGGGGGCAAGGGAGAGGATAGGGGGCAGGGCAGGGGGCAAGGGAGAAGACAGGGGGCAGGGCAGGGGGGCAAGGGAGAGGACAGGGGGCAGGGGGGCAAGGGAGAGGACAGGGGGCAGGGCAGGGGGCAAGGGAGAAGACAGGGGGCAGGGCAGGGGGCAGGGGGGCAAGGGAGAGGACAGGGGGCAGGGCAGGGGGCAAGGGAGAGGACAGGGGGCAGGGCAGGGGGCAGGGGGGCAAGGGAGAGGACAGGGGGCGGGGCAGGGGGGCAAGGGAGAGGATAGGGGGCAGGGCAGGGGGCAAGGGAGAAGACAGGGGGCAGGGCAGGGGGGCAAGGGAGAGGATAGGGGGCAGGGCAGGGGGGCAAGGGAGAGGATAGGGGGCAGGGCAGGGGGCAAGGGAGAAGACAGGGGGCAGGGCAGGGGGGCAAGGGAGAGGACAGGGGGCAGGGCTGGGGGCAAGGGAGAGGATAGGGGGCAGGGCTGGGGGCAAGGGAGAGGACAGGGGGCAGGGGGCAGGGGGCAAGGGAGAGGACAGGGGGAAGGGCAGGGGGCAAGGGAGAGGACAGGGGGAAGGGCAGGGGGCAAGGGAGAGGATGGGGGCAGGGCAGGGGGCAAGGGAGAGGATAGGGGGCAGGGCTGGGGGCAAGGGAGAGGACAGGGGGCAGGGGGGCAAGGGAGAGGACAGGGGGCAGGGCAGGGGGCAAGGGAGAAGACAGGGGGCAGGGCAGGGGGCAGGGGGGCAAGGGAGAGGACAGGGGGCAGGGCAGGGGGCAAGGGAGAGGACAGGGGGCAGGGCAGGGGGCAGGGGGGCAAGGGAGAGGACAGGGGGCGGGGCAGGGGGCAAGGGAGAGGACAGGGGGCAGGGCAGGGGACGGGGCGGGGGACAGGCGGGCGGGGCAGGGGGGCAAGGGAGAGGGCAGGGGGCAGGGCAGGGGGCAGGGGGGCAGGGCAGGGGGCAGGGGGGCAGGGCAGGGGGCAGGGGGGCAGGGCAGGGGGCAGGGGGGCAAGGGAGAGGACAGGGGGCGGGGCGGGGCGGGGGACAGGGGGCAGGGGACAGGGGGGCAAAGGAGAGGACAGGCGGGCAGGGGGCGGGGGACAGGGGGCAGGGGACAGGGGGGCAAAGGAGAGGACAGGCGGGCAGGGGGCGGGGCGGGGGACAGGGGGCAGGGCAGGGGGGCAAGGGAGAGGACAGGGGGCAGGGCAGGGGGCGGGGCGGGGGACAGGGGGCAGGGCAGGGGGCAGGGGGGCAAGGGAGAGGACAGGGGGCAGGGCAGGGGGCGGGGCGGGGGACAGGCGGGCAGGGCAGGCGGGCTGACGTGGACAAACTTCTCATTCATCACAGACACACTGACCCGGCCGCCGCCGCCGCCGCCGGGGCCCCGTGGCAGCCACATCCTGCCGAGTCCGCCGGGCGGCCGCGGCGGGCCCCCGCCCTCCCCGCCCCTCCGCTCCCCCCGCCCGCGCCCGCCGCGGCCGCCCGGCCAAGGCTCCGCCGCCCTCACCGCAGCCGGCCGGGGGCGGGGCCGGGCCGGAAACTGACGGAAACTTTGGGCCCTCGGGCCCCGCTCGGCCCCGCTCGGCCCCGCTTCCCGGCCGAGCTCCCACCGCGGGCGCGCGCCCGGAAGGCGGGCGGGAGGGCAGCCGCCCGGCCGCGCGCGCCCCGGGCAGCCCCCGCCGGACCCGCGGCCCGGCCCACCTTGACCCGCTTGCCCTGGATCTCCAGCGTCTTCATGGTGAAGTCCACGCCGATGGTGCTCCCCTGGCGCTCCGAGAAGGCGCCCGTCTTGAAGCGCTGCACCACGCACGTCTTGCCCACGCTCGCGTCCCCCACGAGCACGAGCTTGAACAGGAAGTCGTACTGCTCGTCCTGCTCGCCAGGGCCCGGCCCCGCCATGGCCTCGCCCGGCCCCCGGCCCGCTCCGGCCCGCGCGTCGCCGGCGACGTGGAACCGCCGCACCTGAACCCGCTGCGCCGTCGGCCGCCGGCCGCCACCCGCGGCCCCGCCCCGGCCCGGCGCCCCGCGGACTCGGCTCCGCCCCGGCCCGCCCCTACTCCGCCCAAGGCCGGTCAGACGACGACGACCCGTGGAGCTCCGTCCTAAGCGGCGCCTCGCAGCCCCCTCAGCACCGCCCGGACCCAGCCCTCAGCACAGGACTCCGCCCCCAAAACGTGCTCCCGCAGGGCACAAGCCCCGCCCCTCCACTCAGCCCCGCCCCTTCCCGCGCAGCATCTCCCCGCCCACACGCCCCCAACAGCGCCCCCGTCCTCCCCTCAGCGCCGTCCCCTCCCCTCCAGATCCTCCCTTTCCCTCAGCACCTCGGCCCCCAGTCTCCGAGGGTCAGCTTTACCCCGGCACGCAGCCCCGCCCCTACCTCCCCGGAAGCCCGCCCGCTAGTCCGCAGCCAGTCAGCCCCGCCCCCCGGCGGACTCCGCCCCCAGGCCATCCAGCTCCCCGGAAGCCTGCCGCTAGTCTGCAGCCAGCCAGCCCCGCCCCCGGAGGACTCCGCCCCCGGCCCCACCCCCAGGCCATCCAGCTCCCCGGAAGCCTGCCGCTAGTCCGCAGCCAGCCAGCCCCGCCCCCGGCCCCACCCCCAGGCCATCCAGCTCCCCGGAAGCCTGCCGCTAGTCCGCAGCCAGTCAGCCCCGCCCCCCGGCGGACTCCGCCCCCAGCCCCACCCCCAGGCCTTCCAGCTCCCCGGAAGCCTGCCGCTAGTCCGCAGCCAGCCAGCCCCGCCCCCGGCGGACTCCGCCCCCAGGCCATCCAGCTCCCCGGAAGCCTGCCGCTAGTCCGCAGCCAGTCAGCCCTGCCCCCCGGCGGACTCCGCCCCCAGCCCCACCCCCAGGCCATCCAGCTCCCCGGAAGCCTGCCGCTAGTCCGCAGCCAGCCAGCCCCGTCCCCGGCCCCACCCCCAGGCCATCCAGCTCCCCGGAAGCCTGCCGCTAGTCCGCAGCCAGCCAGCCCCGCCCCCGGCTCGGGCTCGAGGTAGCTTTGCTGGCCTAGCCCCGGCCCGCGGGGAGCCCCGACTCCCAGACCTGCCTCAGCTCCCAGCCCCGCGGGATGCCATTGCCAAAGGACAGCCGGCCAAATGAGCCAAGCGGGTTAGGCTGTCCGGGTCGAGAGGGAGCGGAGGGGAGGACCAAACACCTGGGAGAAGCTGCAATGGATCAGGTGGTACCCATCGCCCAGAGGGCTTCCCTGCTCTCCAGACAGTGGCCCTGCCATACATACAGCCCACCATAGAGCCATACAGCCCACCATACAGCCTACCATACAGCCCACCATAGAGCCATACAGACTACCATAGAGCCCACCATACAGCCATACAGCCCACCATAGAGCCCACCATACAGCCATACAACCCACCATAGAGCCCACCATACAGTCATACAACCCACCATAGAGCCCACCATACAGTTATACAACCCACCATACAGCCATACAGCCCACCATAGAGCCCACCATACAGCCATACAACCCACCATAGAGCCCACCATACAGTCATACAACCCACCATACAGCCCGCCATACAGCCATACAGCCTGCCATACAGCCCACCATACAGCCATACAGCCTACCATACAGCCATACAACCCACCATACAGCCCACCATACAGCCCTACTGCCCGCCATACAGCCCACCATACAGCCATACAGCCCACCTGGAACACTACTTCATCTAACAAATCTGATAAATGCCTGCTTCGGGCCAGGTTCAGTGCTAGGACCCGAGTCAAACTCTCTCCAGCAGAAAAGGAAAGGCACCCTTCCAGAAGCTTCAGCAGACCCTGGGGAATAGGACACCACTCCACTGCCCAAGTGGGTAAGGAGACAGAAGCTAAACCCATGGGAAGGCAGGATGGTTTGTTCTGAGACAGTCTGAACTCCCCTCCCATGGAGCTTTCCCATGGGAAAACCCCAATAGCTGTAGGCAGGAAACCCTGACATGGCACCAAAAAAATTCTTTGTTTTATCAGGCAGAAGTGGGGAATGGCAGTGGCAAGCAACGTCTTCCCTTCCCAGACTGAGACAGAAGGTATGGAAAATTTCTAATACTAGACCTGGCTCTGGCTCTGGAGGACTGGGATTACCTCCAGCTCTGAGCTGCAACTCACAGCGAAAGGTGGAAGAGGAATCCAGGAGTAGGCAAAGAGGGGAGGAACTTGGACAGAGGTAGATGTGTTTAACTGGCTTTGACTGCCTTCAGCTGGGAAGGGAGGGCGGCAAAGTGGTCTGGACTGGATTTTATGAAAAGGCACCCACCATTTGCATCTGTGGAATACTAAAAGCATTATAAACTGGACTGTTGGGGCAGGGAAGGTGGCTCAGTGGTAGAGCGCTTTCCTAGCATGCATGAGGCCCTGGGTTCAATTCCTCAGCATCACATAAGCAGAAAAGCCAAAGTGGCACTGTAGCTCAAGTGGTAGAGTGCTAGCCCTGAGCTGAAAAGCTGAGGGACAGCACCCAGGCCCAGAGTTCAGGCCCCACAGCCAACAAAACAAAAACAAAAAACTGGACTGTAGGAAGAGTTGCACAACTCAGGAAAACTTTATAAAAATAATTAAATGTATACTTATAAAAAGCAGATCTTGCTGGGCGCTAGTGGCTCAAGCCTGTAATCCTAGCTGAGATCTGAGGATCGAGGTTCAAAGCCAGCCCGGGCAGGAAAGTCCCTGAGACTCTTATCTCTAATAAACCACCAGAAAACTGGAAGTGTTGCTGTGGTTCAAGTGGTAGAGCAGTTGCCTTGAGCTGAAGATCTGAGGGACAGCACCCAGGTTCAGAGTTAAAGCCCCACAACCGACAAAAAAATAAAAATAAATAAAAAAAACAGGAAAAAGAAAAAGCCAAGAATTTGCCAGGCACTTGCACTCAGAAGGCTGAGATTTAAAGATCATGATTAAGAGCCAGCCAGGGCAGGAAAATCCATGAGACCCTTATCTCCATTTAATCACTAAAAAGTTAAAAGTGAACCTGTGGCTCAAGTGGTAGAATGCTAGCCTTAAGCACAAAAGCTCAGGGATGGTGCCCAGACCTCAAGTTCAAACCCCATGACCACCAAAAAAAAAAAAAAAAAAAAGAAGAGGAGGCTGGGAAGTTGGCTCAGTGGTAGAGCGCTTGCCTTGCATGCCTGAGGCCCTGGGTTTGATTCCTCAGCACCACATAAGCAAAAAGAAAAAAGCCTGAAGTGGTGCTGTGGCTCAAGTGGTAGAACGCCAGCCTTGAGCTGAAGCGCTGAGGGACAGTGCCCAGGCCCAGAGTTCAGGCCCCACGACCGGACCCAAAAAAAAAAAAAAAAAGAAGAAGAAAATGCCTTTTTGCATCTTTTTATGTCTGAAGTTACCATCATTAAAATATATAGCCTATAATAATATCACTCAATTTTCCTTGTGTAACATTACAATGACTAGTATTGAAAATAAGCACCCAATCTAAAATGAGTGAAACAATTCCATGAGGACAGATACCAACCATGAAATACATGCCTGTAATACAAGAATGCTTGTTGGAAAACACTAGAGAACTGAACACAGCAGTAAAGCAAAGACTGGCAGCAGCAGTTGCAGACTTGGGTGCTCTGTGCTGGTACCAGGACAGCTCCTCACTCGGGCAGCTCTCAGTACACTCTGTAGCCAAAGAAACGGCAGGTATCCTCTAAGAAATGCAACATAAACAGACTGCCTTCACTCCAACATGGGAGCCCAGACCTGGTCTGTGGATGCCCCACCCAGGCTGGTGCTCAGGGTTCCCCTGCGGCACGGCACCCTTCACGGGCCTGAGGGAACAAAGTGCAGCCACAGAGGTTTCCTTTCTTATAAAAATCTTTAATAAAAATAGCTATCTACAGAGCAGGTAATAAAACAGATGCTTCTAGCTTAAATTCCCTTCCCCCAGCCAGGCACAGAGGTAAAGCAGATACTTCAGGTGGCTCTGGCTAATGGAAACTGAGACTCAGTTTTCAAGAGAAGATAGGAAAAATCACATTTTTTATGCTGCCTCTGTAGTTGATTCTCCTCCTTTCAAAGTCATGGAGTAAAACACTTAGCTAGGTGACAACCTGTCTTACACATCCCTATATAAAACTAAATGGATTCATAGGGTAGCAAAGACATTTGTAGGAAGTTGGTGGCCACGGTGTTCACACCCTGACAGCTACAGGGAGACGAGGGACAGAATCCTACCCTTAGACCAGCTGATGAGGCAGGAAAAGGTGCAAGGACAAAGGATGAGAAAGGTTTCCAGGTGGGCCTGCCACAGCTGCGTGCGCGGGTGGTCCTGGGAAGGGCGGTCATAGGCATTCACCATATCCTCCAGACTCCAATGAGAACACCCCCTTGCCCTAATATCCCAGGAGCCTCTTGGCTTCTTCACTTTGAGCCTGAAGGGTCTCGCTGGCGTACTTCTGAAGCAGTTCCATTTTCTTCCTTCGCACAAGGGCCTCTTCAATCTGTGGACACCAGAGTAAAGGACTCACTCCTCAGCACGGCATCCAGCCCCTGCCCTGCCTGGCCCGGCCCGGCCCGGGCGATATCAAGAAGCCAGACTTTCACTACACTTACACCCAGAGTGGTCTGTTACACCCAACCCATTCCCACTGGGACCATGTGAACAAAAGCATGTGTTTGTCATTTCCACCTAGAGCAGAGTCCTGCCTTTTGTGGATCCTGCACCCTTTCATGAGCACAGGACTGGGTCGCCCAGTGGAACTGAGAGGTCCAGAATTCAAAGGAAGGCACTGAGAGCCTGCCCTGGAGGAGCAGCCTCAGTCCTGGCCACACCCCACCCCCAGCGGCTCTCAGCTTCCCTCCTACCTCCTGCTGTGATGGCACCGGAACATGAGCGATGAACTTCTGCTGCCCATCCTCCCCTCCCTTCTCCATGCTGCATTCCTCATCAGACTACAAAAAGAGACAGAGATCATCATAGGAAACTAGGTACATGAATGTAGATATCTTGGTAAAATATAC